CTGCACCCATCAACTCGTCAGCACTCATCAAGTCGTCATTTACATCAGGTATAACTCCCAATGCCATCCCTCCTCTCTCCCCCCTCCCCATGATAGGCCCCGGTATGTGATGTTCCCCTTCCCGAGTCCAAGTTATCTCATTATTCAGTTCCCACCTATGAGTGAGAACATGCGGTGTTTGGTTTTCTGTTCTTGTGATAGTTTGCTAAGAATGATGGTTTCCAGCTGCATCCATGTCCCTACAAAGGACACAAACTCATCCTTTTTTATGGCTGCATAGTATTCCATGGTGTATATGTGCCACATTTTCTTAATCCAGTCTGTCACTGATGGACATTTGGGTTGATTCCAAGTCTTTGCTATTGTGAATAGTGCCGCAGTAAACATACGTGTGCATGTGTCTTTATAGCAGCATGATTTATAATCCTTTGGGTATATACCCAGTAATGGGATGGCTGAGTCATATGGTACATCTAGTTCTAGATCCTTGAGGAATCGCCATACTGTTTTCCATAATGGTTGAACTAGTTTACAGTCCCACCAACAGTGTAAAAATGTTCCTATTTCTCCACATCCTCTCTAGCACCTGTTGTTTCCTGCCTTTTTAATGATTGCCATTCTAACTGGTGTGAGATGGTATCTCATTGTGATTTTGATTTGCATTTCTCTGATGGCCAGTGATGATGAGCATTTTTTCATGTGTCTGTTGGCTGTATGAATGTCTTCTTTTGAGAAATGTCTGTTCATATCCTTTGCCCACTTTTTGATGGGGTTGTTTGTTTTTTTCTTGTAAATTTATTTGAGTTCTTTGTAGGTTCTGGATATTAGCCCTTTGTCAGATGAGTAGATTGCAAAAATTTTCTCCCATTCTGTAGGTTGCCTGTTCACTCTGATGGTAGTTTCTTTTGCTGTGCAGAAGCTCTTTAGTTTAATGAGATCCCATTTGTCAATTTTGGCTTTTGTGGCCGTTGCTTTTGGTGTTTTAGACATGAAGTCTTTGCCCATGCCTATGTCCTGAATGGTACTACCTAGGTTTTCCTCTAGGGTTTTTATGGTATTAGGTCTAACATTTAAGTCTCTAATCCATCTTGACTGAATTTTCGTATAAGGAGTAAGAAAGGATCCAGTTTCAGCTTTCTACTTATGGCTAGCCAATTTTCCCAGCACCATTTATTAAATAGGGAATCCTTTCCCCATTTCTTGTTTCTCTCAGGTTTGTCAAAGATCAGATGGCTGTAGATGTGTGGTATTATTTCTGAGGACTCTGTTCTGTTCCATTGGTCTATATCTCTATTTTGGTACCAGTACCATGCTGTTTTGGTTACTGTAGCCTTGTAGTATAGTTTGAAGTCAGGTAGCGTGATGCCTCCAGCTTTGTTCTTTTGACTTAGGATTGTCTTGGAGATGCGGGCTCTTTTTTGGTTCCATATGAACTTTAAGGCAGTTTTTTCCAATTCTGTGAAGAAATTCATTGGTAGCTTGATGGGGATGGCATTGAATCTATAAATTACCTTGGGCAGTATGGCCATTTTCACGATATTGATTCTTCCTACCCATGAGCATGGTATGTTCTTCCATTTAAATAACTAAGATCAGAGCAGAACTGAAGGAGACACAGACACAAAAAACCCTCTAAAAAATCAATGAATCCAGGAGTTGGTTTTTTGAAAAGATCAACAAAATTGTTAGACCGCTAGCAAGACTTATAAAGAAGAAAAGAGAGAAGAATCAAATAGATGCAATAAAAAGTGATAAAGGGGATATCACCACCAACCCCACAGAAATACAAACTACCATCAGAGAATACTATAAACACCTCTACACAAATAAACTGGAAAATCTAGAAGAAATGGATAATTTCCTGGACACTTACACTCTTCCAAGACTAAACCAGGAAGAAGTTGAATCCCTGAATAGACCAATAGCAGGCTCTGAAATTGAGGCAATAATTAATAGCCTACCAACCAAAAGAAGTCCAGGATCAGATGGATTCACAGCTGAATTCTACCAGAGGTACAAGGAGGAGCTGGTACCATTCCTTCTGAAACTATTCCCATCTTTAGAAAAAGAGGGAATCCTCCCTAACTCATTTTATGAGGCCAACATCATCCTGATACCAAAGCATGGCAGAGACACAACAAAAAAAGAGAATTTTAGACCAATATCCCTGATGAACATCGATGCAAAAATCCTCAATAAAATACTGGCAAACCGGATCCAGCAGCACATCAAAAAGCTTATCCACCATGATCAAGTGGGCTTCATCCCTGGGATGCAAAGCTGGTTCAACATTCGCAAATCAATAAACATAATCCAGCATATAAACAGAACCAAAGACAAGAACCACATGATTATCTCAATAGATACAGAAAAGGCTTTTGACAAAATTCAACAGCCCTTCATGCTAAAAACGCTCAATAAATTTGGTATTGATGGAACGTACCTCAAAATAATAAGAGCTATTTATGACAAACCCACAGCCAGTATCATACTGAATGGGCAAAAACTGGAAAAATTCCCTTTGAAATCTGGCACAAGACAGGGATGCCCTCTCTCACCACTCCTATTCAACATAGTGTTGGAAGTTCTGGCTAGGGCAATCAGGCAAGAGAAAGAAATCAAGGGTATTCAGTTAGGAAAAGAAGTCAAATTGTCCCTCTTTGCAGATGACATGATTGTGTATTTAGAAAACCCCATTGTCTCAGCCCAAAATCTCCTTAAGCTGATAAGCAACTTCAGCAGAGTCTCAGGATACAAAATTAATGGCAAAAATCACAAGCATTCTTATACACCAGTAACAGACAAACAGACAGCCAAATCATGAATGAACTTCCATTCACAGTTGCTTCAAAGAGAATAAAATACCTAGGAATCCAACTTACAAGGGATGTAAAGGACCTCTTCAAGGAGAACTACAAACCACTGCTCTGTGAAATAAAAGAGGACACAAACAAATGGAAAATATATAATTATTAAAACAAATGAAAGTAGTTTGTTATTTTATGACAGAAAATGGTTTCCTAAACAAGGCATTAAACTCAGACTCTGTAAGTAAAATAAAGGTGGGTAGCTTTCGTGAAATAAAAATGTAAAAGAAAAGTTACTTGAGCTTCACATATATTAAATGGTCTTTATAAAGAAATAATATTCAGCTCCAGACCCAGACTTCCAAGTGAAGCTGATTTAGGTTCTTTCTCAAGGTGACTTTGCACCTAGTCCATCTGTAGTCAGGGGTAAGAAAGACCTTCTTTTGCAAATTCCCATGCCTCTGTCTTAAAACTGTGACTTGATTTTAATTTTTAGTTGCATAACTCTTCAAGTTGAGTTCACTTTTATTTTTCTACTTTTATTATATTGTGAAAGGAAAGTCTACTTTGAAGGTCAAATTAGATTAGCTCTTTCTCTTGAGTGTCGACCTTTGCATTTTGTGCAGTGCTTTCCCATCCTGCCTAATTTATAATTCAATAGCAAACTTAATAGCAGTATTTTTTTGTTTGTTTGTTTTTGGTTTTGGTTTTTGCCACCCTATGGTTTATATTTTCTATTATTAACAATGGAAGACACATAGTATATTTTAGCAAGGTTTACTCTGGCACAGCTGTCAGAGTATCTCTTTGCTATCAAGACCTATTCAACCATCTTTGCTAAGGTGTTAATATGAGCTGGTGATTCTCACTATGTGATAGATCATGTTTGTATGCTTGACACACTTCTAAGTGTACCCTGCTGCAGGATCCTAAGTGTCTCTGGCACACCAGACCAAACCTTGCCTTTTTCTGCTATTCAATAAAACATATTAGATTAAAATAGAAAACATTGATATTATAGAGGGAGAAACTTGAATCTATTCTTTACAAAGAGAAAAAGAAATCATTAAAAAATATCTTGCTTCATTTTAACTATTGCTATAACACATTACTCATGTCATATTGTACAAATGATTTCAATGTGCCAGGATGAGTGATACATTAAGAGCTACTGCCCTAGAACATTACTTTTCATGTTTCTGCTGAAAATAGTAAGGCATGCTCAGATTTAAGGTATAATCTAGGTTTTCTGCAAGTCTATTTATAAATTTGTTAAGTATGCTTAAAAACTTCTACACACATCTCCCTACCTTTTAGGCATGTGGATAATTGCATATGTCTCTTAAATACTATCTAATATGATTCTCCAAAGCTACCATTGATAAGCAATTTAACACCACTTGTAAAAACACTGGCCATGAAGTTCAGCATAAACAAGAATGAAAGAGAACTGGTTAATCTAGAAAATTAGTTAAAATGTATTTTGAAAATGAATAAAATTAGAGACAGCATACTGATAATGCCACTCAATAACTTTCATAAGAATGCATTTTTACAGTGTCAATATAAAAGAAACACAACAAAAAGTCCTGATGTTCATATTGCCTTAAGCATATGTTATACAAACTAGCACTCACTTAATTCCTTTCATTTTTTTTATCCTGAATATATTTTTATTTTTAAAGAGACAAGGTCTTGCCATGTTGCCCAAGCTGGTCTCAAATTCCTGGCATCAAGCAATCCTCCTGCTTCAGCCTCCCAAAGTGCTGGGAATACAGGCATGAGACACTGTGCCCGGCCTTCCAATTTTAATTTCTGAAAATAAATGTTTTTCGTAAATATAAGTGAATGTTCAACTTCACATATTTTTTGCTATTGAAACTTCAAGGTCTTTTTTCTACTTCTCTTTTCACTCAACATATGGCTGGAGAAATTTCTGCGGCACATTTGATAACTATGAGATGGGCTGGGTCCTAATCTATATGGTAACATCTCATGGGAATAACCAGAGCCTTTTCAGTAGCTAAGTAACAAGGGTTATCATTTTCTAAATTATTACTTCACTGCAATAAATGACAACCTAGTACCTGATTAAGGGAACGTAAAGACAATGTGTTTCCTCTGTTGTTAGAAACTTGCTATGTGCCATATTTCATTGGTTCATTATTCATATTTTTTGCTGTGTTAGTACAGGTTGTGAGAATCACTGTTGAATGATATATCAAAAGCCTTACTACCTCAAAAGACCTTCCACTGTGGGTGCCACATGTCTCTGCACCACACCCCAGAGGGCCCACAGCCATTCTGCATTCAAGAGAGGCTGAGGGGGGTAAGACTCTTTTTCTTCTCTGCTAAACTGCCTATTTTGATGATGAGATGTCTGCTATCATCACAGGGAATAGAATTTCCTCTTGCACTAGCCTAAAGAATGGGTTCCGGAAATGTCTGCCAATTCTAACAGGACAACTGTAGATTTAATGACAAATTCTAGATGATTACAAAATTGACCAGAAGGGCCCTCAGTGAGTTTGACAAAGAAGACACAGTCTTGGTGGCCCTTGACCTTGAGCAGCTCATTCAAAAGTTAATCATCTCAAGCAGCAGAACACGCTGGGCACGTGGCTCACACCTATCATCCGAGCACTATGGGAGGCCGAGGTGGGAAAATCACTTGAGCTCAAGAGTTCAAGACCAGCCTGGTCAACATGGCAAAACCCCATCACTGCACACACACAAAAACAAAAACAAAACAAAACAAAACAAAAAAGAAATTAGCTGGATGTGGTGGCACATGCTGGTAGTCCCAGGTACTAGAAAGGCTGACGTGGGAGGACAACTCGAGCCCAGGAGGTCAAGACTGCAGTGAGTGAAGATTGCACCACTACACTCCAGTCTGGGTGACAGAGTGAAACCCTGTCTCAAAAATATAAAAAATTTAAAAACAAAGCAACAGAACAAAAGGATTGCACGGCATGTCTTATAGGCAACTATTGGTAAAACAAATACTTACAGCATCCCCCATACTAAACTCATACACACTAAGCATGTAGGGACACATCTAACTAAGCTACTATGATGCCATTTTGTAAAATTTATAATTCCAACCAAATGTATGCTGAAAAGTATAATATGCAGAACACGAAATACGCAAAATACCTTTTAAAGAATTAAATTTTATCAACTACTGGTAGAAAATATAAGACAATTTTGAATAACGAAAATGCAAACCCTAAATATATCATAAAATAGCCCTCTAATTCTGAAAGGCAGAAAAGCGCAGTAGTTACAAGCATAGAGTAGAGATAGGTCATGTGGGAAAACCTGCCCAGCTCCATGACCTTGGACAAATTCCTGAAGCTTTGTCTATCTCATTTGCCTTATCTGTTAAAATATCGATAATGTCAGTACTTGCCTCATTGGAGGGTGTGAGAATCAGATTAATTAATTTATGATAAAGGACTTTGGTGTATGGCATATCGTAACCATCAGATATTATTAAGTCTGACTCTGATATTATTCTGTTTTTTTTTCTCTGCTTTTACTATCTTCCTAAATATTACATTGAAATAAAACAAAACAAAACTCAATAGCACCAGCTCAGAACAATAATGGTTTTCTGAACTGGAACATTTACATGCTAAATGTCTTATCCTATGGGTTTTACTGAAACTCACTGGGGCCTAAGAACACCTGAAATCTAAGATAGAGACTATTTCAACACTATAGGCTACTTGTTCTGAAATACAAACAATCGGTTTCTGGAATCCCATTCATATATATACATGTATACGTATATGAATAGATATATATATAAGTATATACATATACTTATCTGTTATCATGGAAGTTTTAGAAAGTAGCTTTTTTTTTCCATGAGCAATTAGAAATTTATATAAATTACAAAAATATTACAAAATATAAATTGTGAGTTACCTATTCATTTTCCTTTTATTTCTTTAAAAAAAAGTCTGGAGTAATAAAATATATTAGTTATTTTTAGAGAAATCATCTTGTCCAGTGCCAAATTAACTGCTTTTTATAGACCAACTCAAATGAGATAGCATTAAACATCAAAACAAGACAGAAGGTAAGAAGCTGAATAACTGTAATTAAATAATATAATGGGAAATTAATTTGGTTTCATTCAGGGCTCTTTTGGCAAGGTGGATCAAAAAGTGACCACCATCATTTTAAAGAGTGTTTTTAATTTGACATGTAAGTAGGTAATTGAAAGAGAGAAAGAAACTGATCTTTGTAAGTGCTTCTGGTTTAGCATTACTAGAAAATAAAGCAATTATTAATTAAGTACAAATTAGCATTGTTCCCTAATTCCTTCAGCCTTTAATTGAAGGATATTGATGCCTACGTGAACATTTTATTATTCTGATTATCAGTCATTTACGATGAAAAGATATTGAAGTCTTCCTAATTTCTATAAAGTATTTTCTTTATGCAGCCCTCTACTTTGAAGGCTGAGATAAATCAGCATAGTTTGGCTTTTTATCCTAAAACATAATAGGAAAATCATAATTGAATTTCACCTTAATCTCATCAACTATACAAGTAGTTGATTGCTTTCGCTTTACATCATACACTTCATTAATATGCTAATAAAACTTAGATATGCTTTATTTAGAAAATTATCTTAAATGTCAGTGAAGATCTAAGTCCTGTGCATTATTTATAGACAATGGTTTTCAGTTTATCTTTATATTGCATTTTAAATCAAGCCACATCTTTGTGGCCCTGGACTTCTGAAATCATCTTCACTTTTCTCCCATGCAATGGACTGAATATTACTCCCCAAGATTCATATATTGAAATCCTAACCCCGAAGGTGATAGTATTAGAAGGAGGGACAAGATCATGAAGGGGGAGACCTCATGAATGGCATTAGTGCCATTATAAAGAGACTGAAGTCAAGTAAGAGAAATGACAAACAACAACACAGGTAGCTATGAAACTTTCCATTTGTGATATAGTTCTCTGGAAAAAAAAAATCAGTTTCCCTTGATAAGTAATTACTCATCTTCTGCTGGGAGAGGTATTTTATATCAACTGATAAGGAAGCCCCTCTGAGAAAGATGATATTTGAATACAAGAAGCCAGCCTTGTGAATATCTGAAGAAAGAGGAGGGAGGAGATAAAGGAGAGAGAGAAGAGAGCTCTCCTGCCTTTTCCATCATGTGAAGTCACAGAAAAGGTCTGGTGAGATACTAAACTTGCCAGTCCCTTGATCTTGGACTTCCCAGCCTCCAGAACTAGAAGAAATAAATTTATGTTGTTTATAAGTCACCCAGTCAATGGTATTTGGTAATAGCGACCTGAAAGAACTAAGACATCAAGTTTCATTTTCTCTTCGGCCTCCTCCTACCCACCAGATTCCAGCCCTTTTCCATACAGCAGCCCAACAGCCCTTTTACATTTTTTAAATAGATTACTCTTCATGTTAATACTCTCTGATGGCTTCCCATGGTTTTTAGAATAAAATTGAATCTCCTTATCATGTACAAGGTCATAAATGACCTGGTCTCTTCCTGCATCTTCAATCTTATTTATCTCTCTGGTCTATGTTGTTCCCGCTATGTCAGCCCTAGAAATTTCTACATGGGAGCTTTTTCACTAGCTTGTAACCTCTGCTTAGAGCAGTCTTTCTCCAGATACTCACAAAGCTGGCTCCTTCTTGGTTTTTCAACTCTAAATCCAAATATCATCTTTCTGAGAGGGGCTTCCTTACCATTCAAAATAAAATGCCTCTCTCAGCAGGCGATGAGTAATAATCACAGGAAACTTATTATTTGCTCCAGAGTTCTATATGGCAAATAGAAGGTCTATAGTTACCTGTTTTATTTGTTTACATGTTTTCTGTTATCACTTACTAGAACCTTATTCAGAAAAAAGTTAATGTTATGAGGACAAATTGAAGCTGACTGTCACTCAATTTTTTAATTATTATTTTGTAAGGTCATAGCATCAAAAGATTTGTGTTTTCTTTACAGTGCACACTTATATCAGACAAAATCAAGTTTAGAGTAGCTAAACTACTCTAACATATTTCAAATAAAGGAAGTTTAATATAGAGATATAGGGGACTGATTACAAAGGTTATGGAACAGATGAGAAGTCAGCAAGGAAATTATGATACAACCTACCATATGTAGAATGTTTCCATCCCTAAAACGAGAGGGACAAAGGAAGAAAGTCGCCAAAGTCAAGCTGCTGGAAGGATAGAAAATTTTTCGAGCATGTTCTACGGGAGCTGGAACTAAAGAAGCATGGCCTAATTGGGGGAAGCTGAGTCACAGATAAGGTACAGTTAGAGATTCAATCCAAAATAGGAAGAGAGAGGAGGAAGGCTTGTTTTCTCTTCCTGTCCTCAGGTCGTTGGTGGGTACCTTCCACTGACCAAACCTACCTAGGAAGGCAGAAAGCAAAGGAGCCAGGGAAGTGTAGTTCTCTGGAATACAGAGCAGATCCTGGAAGGGCAGGGAATGCATAACCTTTAGTGAGATTTCAGAAAATTTATGCTGACAAGGAGACATACTCCCACAATCTACAATTCAGAATCTCTTTTGACAATGCCTTCCTATTTTTATTGCCTCATAAACCCTTGCCTCTGAAAATTCATCTTAGGCATTTTCTTTGCCACATCCCTTCTGAAGGGTTTCTATAATCAACGTAAGAAATAGTTTCAGACAATTGTAAGCTACCATGTACTCTGGAACCACATTTGCTATTATTAACCCAAGAGGTTATGTGTTTATGGCACATTCTGGGGCAGTGTCTCTCAACCCTTCCAAATATGAGGACCCTTTAGAAATATGTAATTTTTATTAGAAAGCTAATACAAGTTTCAGGTAGAAAAATTATAAAATACATAAGACTGCAAAATAATAAAGTTTTTCATCTCAAAAAGTACAAATAATTCTTTTAACCATTGTAGTGTGTATTTCTCCATTTATTTCTTTTCCCTTTCATATATATACATACATATATTTATATAGGTAAATATCTATAGCCATATACACATTTTCACACAAAATTTGATTTTTTTAATTGCATACTAGTATGCATATTCCTTAACAATCTGCTTAGATCATTAAAGAATAATAAACATTTCTTTTTATCACTAATTATTCATTCACAGAATTGTTCTACAGTGTTTCCATATGACTGAATGTATTATATTTTAGTAATTTCCACTATTTGATGCTCAAGTGGTTTCCAAAATTTACTAGGGTAAACATTGAGATTTAAAAAAAAAAAAAAAAAAAAAAAAAAAAAAAAAAAAAAAAAACCAACTTTGGTTGGGTGCAGTGGCTCACGCCTGTAATCCCAGCACTTTGGGAGGCCAAGGCAGGTGGATCACTAGGTCAGAAGATTGAGACCAGCCTGACCAACATGGTGAAATGCCATCTCTACTAAAAATAC